GGAAGAAGAAGAATTTCTACTGTGAAGAATAGACGATAATTGAGAAGAGAAAAAATTTCGAAGTTCATTTTTCGCTATTTTTCTTAGTAAATTTATTTCGCTTTTTAGTTCAATATTTTTTGTTCGACAATTGACAATCTTTCTAATGAAGATTTATCAAAATAAAAATATTCGATTTCTTCTATGAAAACATACTTCATTCGATCTAGGAGATTCATCTGTCGAGGAAACACTTTTTTCTGAATTTTGACTTTCTCCGTCTTTCAGCTCTTCTTGGCCAATTGCAGAAAAATTAATCCAAAACCACATTGGAAATATGAACAAAGCACTAAGTGTTATCTGTATAGCAATCGAAGAAAATTTCTGAAGTTTTTATTTGTCATTTGCTTTATTACTTTAAGATGCTCTGAAACCGCAAGTGAACCCCAGGATAATCCTCGAGGAGTTATTTCACCATAGAAATGTCGAGTGACCCATTTCTGAAGAATGGCATGGGATAGAAATTCTTTATTATTCCAATTGTATGCTAATTGAACTACAGTCATACTATTAAAATCCTAAGAAAAAACAACCCTTTTTCTAGTCTTGAGAAAGAAGAAGATCTCTCGACATACCGGATGTTCTTTCGAAAGCATTTGAAATGTTTGAATTTCGTTCTCTTTGAATGATTTATCAAGGACACCAATAGCATAATCTGTATATTCTCTAGAAGATCGTCGAGATTGATTTGATCATCACAAGACAGTCGAAAAGAACTTTTCTTACTTGACTTGTTTTTTTCCTAACGATTTTTGATATGGTTCACGACAGTAAAATGTTAATCGATGTAACATCATCGAGCAGAGCAGAGCAAGAAGAACAGGTTCGGAAGTTCGTTTCCAAAGAATTTTAACTAAATTATGCCGATTAGTTAACACAGCACAGATCACTAAATAGCGAATGGCTTGAGTGAACTAGTTTTGGAAGATGAAATAATCAAAGAGAAGAAAGATAAACAAGATGAAAATAACCTCAGTTTCTGCGCTCTTTTGTTGACGAGGAAGAGTATGATTCGGTATTTCATTAATAGAAGAGCTGATAGTATCTGATCGGAATTCTGGAGGAAAATCGATCTTTATATTTGTCAGACATCTGATAATATCGATAAAAGCATGTTCAATAAAGCACTTCGGAACTTTTTTATCATCCTAAAAGTCAATTAAATCCGATAGATGTCGAGTATATTTCATTGATTCTCTTACTCCACTCCATCCCAAAATTCCTTCGAGTGATGTTGTAGTAAAGAAATCTCGATCTTTCTGTCGATTGAAGAAATCTCGAAGTCTATTTGATTTTAAATAACCATGTAAAGAGAAATCTCTTTCAAGAAAAAGATCAACGAATGTTTCGAGATCATCACCAAGTAATGCTTGTTTAAATAGATCATCGGGAATATCGTAACCACGAAAATCTTCTCGATCGAATATTTCCGATTGAGCTATATCGATTAAACCCCAATCTAATGTCAATTTTAAGAGAGTGTTTTGCATTTCAACATTGATTTTATTTTCCACAACCACTTTTTGACCTTATAGACAAATGTACCGTAAATCAGTAAAAGGAAAATCTTACTTTTTAAATAAGCGGAGAGAATCGTTTTGTGAATATCATTAGCAGCTAATATTGGACTATTTACATCAATAAAACTCAATAGTTTCAATTTAGTTGATTCGTTTTCTTTGGCAATATAAATAATATCATCACGAATTTTGTGACGTTTTATCATTTGATCACTCAATGTCGGATATTCGTCTAATAAACATCGATTTAATTCTTTTTTCAATTTGACATCATCATAAATTTTGTTAGTTCTAAATGACTTTGAAAATAGTAAATGATATTTTTCTGATGAGAGAAAAGAACTGACTTGGTATTGATCGTATTATAAGCAAGAGCGATTAAATCAGCAACCGATCCAGTACCATTGATGATGACAACGGGGAGATTTTGTTCAATTTTGTCTTGTAATATTTCGATAGTGTCGAGAGTACCTCGTACGAATATATACACCAAAGGAAAAGTAATAGTTTCCATGGATGCCGAATGATTCTTGGATTCTCGTAAAAACTGATGAAAACGATCTCGAAATCGATTTGCACTACTGTTCACTGAATCGATCAAATTTTCATTGCATTCAGCGGTGACGGAGTTGCTTTCAATGACATTTGAGAAAGTTGTTGTTGAGACTTTTTCACGAACGATGATAAAATGTGTATGATCACTATTTAAAGAATATTTATTACGTTTGTCTATGTTGATTTCAATCTGATATAGAATAAAAAGATAAGAACATTGTGAAGAAATAAAATCCTATTCAGACCGTTGTCGGATTTCTATTGGCAGTTAGACAATCGGAGATTTGTTTGATTGATTGATCAGATATGATACCGAGAAATGTCAGTGCATTCCATTTTTTCGATAAAGGCTCCTCATTCTCACTTGAAACATCCTCAGCTCTTAATGCCTAAGACAAATACACATGGAAATCTGAACAAGAAATTCAATTCATCTCTATACATACAATGGTTTCTTGAACAACTGATCCGATTAGTTGTGGAAGTCCAATATCGATACCATTGCCGATAAACCAAACTTTCGACCCATTGATTATCTAAATATCGCAGAAACAAATATGTCTACGTATTTAATCATGAGAACATAACATACGCGTTGTATACCATCACGAAGAGTTTCATTAATCTTGAAAGTCTTAAACGGTTTGTGATTACTAATACTATTGATCACAGAAACAACAAGATTGGCTGGTTTGAATTCTTTCCAATCATTCGTCATAGTTTCATAAAATCGTTTCAGATCGATATCCTCATCGACATAGATAAATGGTCGGCTCTGGAAAAATAAACGAATGCATCTGATTGATGAGGTATATGCTATAACGATCACTTCAAATGAAGATTCCCCCGGCATTGATCTCGACACCATCACTTTAAAAGCAGGTAATCGATTCCGAATTTGACATAACTGAATGATCAATAGTAGCTAACGGTTAGTTTAAAGCTTCCTACAGTTTTCATTATCTGAACTTTGAATAGGGGTCCGACGATCTTTTTTCTTATAATTCACATTAAAGATCAGACTTGATAGTCTATGTCAGAGGAGGATGCCTAGTTTTTCTAGAATAAATTTCCTTCTTTTAAGTTTTCAGACGGATTTATTACCAAACGAGAAATGGAGAAAACGACTTACAGCAATGCAAGGACTGCCCACTTTATCAGAAAACTTGATCGTGCCATTTGCAAGCCAGAGAGCCGGTTTGTTTACTGATAGCAAGATTTCTTCTGATTGCATCGGTGTATATATCTAAAATATTTGAATCTCACACGAGATAAATTGTCCTGCATTCACTATTTATATTTTCTAGGGAAGATATTTTTATAGAAAATCTGTCAATTATACTACAAAAATCAAAATACGAGTATTAAAGAGTAGACTAAATATTGTTCAAAGATTAGTTGAGACGTATTTCAATAAGATACACCTAAATTTGCTAAAGATTTTCATGTTGCAGTTTTGAATGATAGTGTGTCGTATACATACATAATATTTTTACGACTGTTTGCGATGATAAACGGCGTAAAACAACAGTATAAGCATCGTTTTTTGTCCTTGCACACACATTGTATTCATTGCCCTGAAAATATTTCTTCTATGTACTAGCATTCGTATGAATGATATGACCACCATCAATTTAATGCATTAATCGTTAGAGAACGAAAATAAAATACTCATAAAATTATATTTATGCCGATGAATATTTCAAATAAATCATTTCCATAAGAAATATAAATATTTTTTCCTACTATTGTATTAAATAAACCAACTTGTTTTAGTTACCTTGGAGAAGCCGAATACAACGAACAGTATGGTTACTGAAAAGATGAATAGAACAATACCTCAAAACACATGTCTTACAGTCAGAGAATAGCGAAGAATATCGTTTTTGTTATGAAAAACTGGTTCATTCTAGTATTACTTTGTATCTCGTGATTGGAAAGTAGTAGAGGCCTATGACTTCTACCTGTACGAAAAATCTCAGATGTCTACCACTTTCCAATTACGAGATATAAAGCCTAAACATGCTAAAGGCAGAAAGAAAAACATGTAAAACTTCTATTGCGATCGGATAAACAAGAGAGAAAATCAGTGATGCGATACAAATTTTTCTCACCATGTGAGCAGACCTTGTCGTATTTAGTATTTTCTTTCGTTCTCTTTCTCGCTCACTGTGGAATGTGTCTTGCATTCTACCTCTCCCTCTCATGTATAAAATTGTCATTTGATAGGCAATTAGTTTTTTGATAAAGACATTCTGCATCTAGACTGTGCCAACGGGCATGTCAGTAAACGCATTTTCTCTCTTGTCTCATCATTGGAACATACGATTCATATGAGAGATTGTCGTTGTTTAATATTTGTATCCTTCACCTTGTTATATTAACATGTGTTCTCTTCTCTTTTTTATCTTGAGGGTGAGGTGAGGGTGGGTGTTACGTCCGTATATTTGATAGGTGATGATTTATTTTCACAAATATAAAGAAGGCTCTTTCACATAAAACGAGAGCTGCTTATATAGTATGCTAACACACATCTATTTGGAAAATACTAACACAACCTGTAAAATTCCAAGATGCTATTACTAAGAGATAACCCTAGATGAAGTTCTCTGGAAAATTCCTCTTAGGATCAAGAATGAGTGATAACTATAGTAACCATATGTATATAAGAAAAGAAAGAGAACGAATATATGAAAAAGACCTATGTCATGAGTCATCTTATGGTACGCTATATGACGTACCATAACAGTGGGGGTGAATTTTTTTATGATTGGAGCCGATAAAGCTCGTCGAGTTTGATCTGGAATAAGTGTTGAAATTGCTGTATATGATTGCTAGACGAAAGCGCCCGGGTTTTACTAGAATTTTGAAGTTTTTGGAGGCGATGGAAAGACTTTTTCTGAAATCTTGTTTTTGGAACCGATAGAGCTCATCAATCTGTGCTTGGAACCAGTGTTAGTTCAATTGGAACCTACACTGAAACGAATCCGCTCAAGGAAAAGTCGTATCCTGCACAAAGATATCCTACGTATTCCTGGATGTGATGTGTACAAAGATAGTAGTTTATAGAGCTTACACAAAACATTTAATATATCTTACATTATTATATTTTTAATTCAAGAAACTAAAAGAAGTGATATGAGCTAAATATCATTTTTGCCTTGTAGACTGCGGATAGTATTCTAAACATATGGAGCACTATGATGGATGTTCTTTTCATGGCAAATCATAAAATAAAATAAGGCTTTTTATCTATTGCCCTTTGGCAATCAAATGAACGGAAGGCCATCACTTTCGAAGCGACAATGAGAAGAAAAAAGAAACATAGTTATTCATTTTAAAAGTTAGTCAAAGGTGAAAGGCATAACGGAGGTAGCAGGATTCATGAGATGCCTAATTCGACTTATATTATAAGTCGACCCCCAACAGGCTAGTATCAATTCTAATATAAATAGATATCTATATAACCCTTATAACAAATGACTAGAGAGGAATAGAAATGGATTTAGTCTTACTTATTCATATATACCATCACCAACACCCACCGCGGTACCGTCAATCGAGATAGATATAAGTGAGGGTGTGGGTGTATATATCGACCTGTCCACGTAACGGTCCACCAGTGTGAGGAAAATCGATATATTCAATTTGACAAAACCAATATACGCACGTTGTAGAGCATCATCGATAGCATCAGAAATCACACTTTTTAGCTCTGAGGGTGCATCTGTTGTTTAAAAAAACTTATCGACACGAGAAGCCCTCGTAGGATCATTAATATATAAGAAATAGATCTCAATAAAGGTCTAACGTTTTTTTATCTATAGTTATTATTATTTATAAAGTTGATTATGTGATGAACATACAACATACATGTACCCTTCATTTGTGAAAAAAAATCTGAGCTTCACTGTTTCTAGACCGAGATATTGACTTTGATAAAGTAGTGCATTTTGCAGTGTGATTCCGTCACGGAAAATACTCTTTAATCCCTCGCTTGCTTCAGTCACTCAAGTTTCGATTTCGTCTATAGGTGTTCTAACGCTAGTTTTTGATGCTCTGTAAGATGCACTAGATGCCTTTTAAAAAATCATCCAAGCTACTTAGAAATGGCGTGACGGAATCACTGATATGTAGTAACTTATTTTACATGAATTAGCAAAAAACTCTTTTTTTAAATATTTTGCCATACTTATTATTATGCAA